CCAGGCCTGGTTGCACAGTGGTTGGTCCAGGCCTGATTGCACAGTGGCTGGTCCAGGTCTGGTTGCATAGTGGCTGGTCCTGGTCTGATTGCACAGTGGTTGGTTTTGGACTGGTTGCACTGTGAGGTGGTCCTGGACTTGTTGCATGGTGGCTGGCAGTAGATTTGTTGTAGGTCTGTTCGAAAATATTCACTGACCCCACTTCCATTGCTTTCTGAGACAAAGAATTCCAAAGTCACATAACCCTCTGAGCTAAAAAAAATCCTCATCTCTATCCTAAAAGAGTGACCCCTGAGTTTTAAACAGTATTCTCTAATTCTGGATTTAGTACAGTATTGTTTCCGTGTCCATCCTTATCAAGATCATTGAGGACTTGGTGACTAGCTGGGGACTAGCTTGCCTGAAGTAAGAGCCATGTTTCAACTGAATTAAAAATATTAAAAACTGAAAGAACTGCAGATTCTGTGAATCAGAGACAAAAATAGAAATTGCTGGAAAAGCTCAGCGGGTCTGGCAGCATCTGTGGAGAAAAATCAAAGTTAACATTTTGGATCCTCAGAACAATTAAATATATTGTTTAGTGATCTTTTTAATGCGTAGTCTTTAAAGCTGGCTAATTTTCAAACATGAATCCATTGAGCATAACCAGAATGTAGAACACTGTACTAATTAACTGGACAGTAATTTGATGAACAAAAACCTGAAAGAGGATAGGCATGATACATGCGTGTAGATGCTGTGTGTGTATGTGACCTCCATATTTGCCCGTCTAGGAAAATCAATTTAAGAACCTAAATTTCAAATGCTTAGTTGGACATGACAACAACGTTTACCTAGGATATTGCTAAGGCATTTCCTCACATTCCAATATGATGATATTTTTCAGGAGATGGGAAGCTGCTTGCTGTTGGATTGGCTGACAAATCCATGCTTGTTTATAATTCATCACTTACTGGATCCCCGACTGTGTTTAAAGGTAACAACTCTTAGTAAATTAAAACTTATAAAAGTAGGTTTTGAATATGTTTTCCTGTCAATTATTCTACTAATAAACATGTAAACAAACCATTTGGAACCTGGTAATACTTGTCAACTAGCAACTTTCCAGCTGACTTTTTTCAGATTTGCTATGAGCAATGGCTTTCTCCAGCATGTCAATACCAAGGAGAAGCCTAAAATTTCATTGCAATGCAATATCAGTTTTCCTACAGTTAAACAGGTCATCACCAAGACCCTCATGAATTATTCAATCTATTGTACAGTTATTTACATGGTTACTCTGAATTCCTTTCTCCCTTATTTCCATCAGTCTTAAACCATTTGTTTCAGATAAGTTAATGCCCCTGTTAAAGAGACAAAGAAAGGATATGGGGACCCATGAATTATAAATTCTATAGTGGGCTGTTGGTCCAAATACATAGCAAGATTCCCAAGCTTAATTTCCAGATCAACATCTGTAGTATGCTTTCAGAGTAAAGGTATTGAGTGTTAACTTCAATCACAAAAGACTACTTATTTCCCTGAAATTGTCTGTCCAAGTTAACTATTATTTTAGCAGTTTTTAACCAAGCTACTAGATTGAAAACCTGACACCTGATCATGTCTTTCTGAACTCCAAACACATTTTCAACCATGAGATGTATGTTTGTTAGTTCCCTCTACTTTTACATGTTAGCAATTAACTATTTTCCCAGAATCTTAATTAATTTTACGTACCTCTTCCCAGAAGAAAACGATATCATGATGACACCAATGTTCCTGTCCAGTCAGCACATCATTCTGACTTGGATATGTCATCGTTGCTTTATCAAAACCCTAGAATTTCCCATCAACACCTTGTGCAGACTGTCAACATAAAGAATGTAGTGATTCCAGGAGAAGGCCTACCATCTTCTCAGATTGGCAAAGAATGTGAATGAACTCCACCATCATACAAAAACAAATAAAAACATTGCACTTCTCCAATATTTCCCTTTTAATGCCTTGTGTGGGTAAATATGGTGATGCCAGCAAATCCTGTTGTTGGTTCAGGGAAAAGAATGGTGGTTGAATCGGCAAATTATTCCAGACAATTGCTCATAGCCAATAAGATTTCATTGGCATTAAAAGCAAATAATGCAGTTCAAATTTCTAATCTTATTGTTCCAATAATGTTATCTGTACACAAGAGGGCAGCATTGAAACTTGACAACACTTGCATCCGTATTTAAATTAAAAAAAACAAACTTTGTTACTTGTGCACGTTAAATAAAAATGTTTTAATATATTCATAAACCCCATGTTATAAAGGTCCATCCTTTGACATGTATATAGATTTTCACTTATAGTTTGTACAGATATGCTTAATAATGTCACAGTTGTTAGGTTTGTGTTTTGCATTGTTACTTGCCTTTCCACAAAAATATTTTAAAACAGTATAATCATGGCTTACGTTTCTTGTCTCTTTCAAAAACAATTTCATCAAAAGTTTGCAAGGCAGTTGGTGAATTACCAATTAAATGGTGTGAGAGTAGCTTTCAGAAACTGCAAACATTTTGAATGCTTCTCTGATTTTCCTTTCTACAAAAGAATCATTAATCTCATTAAACAGAAGGTTTTGCTATGTAGGTTAATTCACAAAATTGTGTTGTAAAACCAGTGAAGACCCAGCAGTGTGCATACTTTCGCCATTGTGTTAACTTGACATTATTACAATTACAACTCCACCTTGAGGGTCTACCCTGCCTGGTTGATGTCTTGAAACAACAAAATTCTAATATGGCAGTCGTGACAATTCACAACGCAAAATAATCAGCAATATTCCAAATAAAACAAACCAGAAAATTATTTTTTAAAAAATAAGCTCATCCTATTTCCCAATTTTAACAGATCCTTTAAAAAATATGCAGGAATTGGATCCATATCTTTGTCAAAAACGAATCAGTTCTCTCTTAGACCATACCCTCCCTGTGTACCAATTTTTGTTGAAATTACCCATTAGTTTTTGAGATAGAATGTTTACAAACTGCCTAACAAACAGGTAAAAACATTACCATCTCCCATCTTCAGTAATTAGGCAGATGTACTGCATTGATATGACCTTGATATGGTGTAGGTATTTCCAGTGTTTTTTTCAAAGTAGTTCTATAACTGTGATCTTTTAAAATGACAATGGTAAGGGAAGATAAATGAAGGAAGTAAGTTTTCTGTAATGCACAATGTTAATGAACAGTACTCTGATATGTTCTCTGATATGTATATTTTATAGTTTTTAAAAGTCAAGTACTTTCATATACAGTGATCGACACTTTATCCTGTGCTGTCATTCAGGTCATGATGGAGCAGTGAATTGTGTTGGTTGGACTCAGAATGATAAATGGCTGTTGACGGCATCAGAAGACAGGTCATTATGGATCTGGCCAGCTCATGGCTCGGCACCTGCACTGAAGCTGGTAACTATATACATCTATATTAAAAGCTCAATGCATCACACTTCTTTCCTGCAACAAGTTACGTTTGTGTCTATTTCCATTACATATATTTTTGTTGGAATATCTTTTAAGCTTTTCTATCCTATTAAAGCACTCAATGGCTTTATTCTGATCGTGGCCTTCATGTTTGATCTCTTAATGCAGATGGCAATGTTACATAGACTTATAGAATCATAAATTGCAGACCAAGGCTACTGGGGCCCATCATTGTGCCAACTCTTTGAGAGAACAGTTCTGTTATTTCCACTTCACTGTGCTATACCCATAACCCTGTTAATTTCTTCTTTTCAAGACTATATTTAATTTCCTTCCATCAGTTACTGTTGAATCTGCTTCTACTGCCTTTTCAGGCAATCCATTCCAATTCCATAAACCTTTTAATTCTGACTTGTGTCTTCATGAAAGGTAGCGCTGTGACATTACAGTCTACAGCACCATCTACCTGGGAGTTGCTGGTCTGCTGCAATGTACCTTTTTCCTTGCTGTGGCATTTTGGATTGTAGCCAGCCCAGAAGAAGAGAATGAAAGCCTCCATCATCTGTGAATTTTAAGACTTGAAACTGTAAAATGATTTGGGCAGTTTAGATTTCTAGTTGGCATGGAGCATGAGCCAAGAAATGACCTTTTATTTGGCACTAACAAGTAGCTGTCACTCAGAGACACTCCAGGATGATTGTTTTTTGAGAAATGGAAAATGCTGCATTGTTGCAGCAAAAGGTACTGTTCACAGCTTTAGAAACACAGAGGAAACTGCTTTGTATTATTTGCACAGAGATAGAGAGTAAGATAGATAATCGGTTTATTTAAAAATCATCGTGGTAGCAGGTGCAAATTGTGGAGAAATAAATAGGTAAAATAATTATAATTCATCATATAGTTGTTGACAATCAAAATTAAAATAATGTATAGAATAATGAAATGCCTGGAAAATTATGAACATTTCAGTGTACTAATTATAATTCGGGTCTCCTTAATTTACAATTATAGTGGATCAGAGAATACTTGATGCTGATAATAATTGTCTGAGATAGGAAAAATGTCCCATTTCTCCAATGATTTCTAAGCATTTAGAAGCGTTTATTTTGTTAATTTGCATGAAAATGCACAAAGGAAAAATCTGATATTTTTGCGAGTGACAGTTCACCTGAATAAGGAATGAAGAAATAACCACTTGATTGAATTTTTGCAACTTTCCAGTTAACAGCTGTGATCATCCATCCAGATGAATTATAATTCCATTACATCACTTTTGGCCAATCCAGAGTGACCACTATGATAGTGATGTAACTTCTAAAAATGAACATAGTGCGTTGAATCAGCATCTGTGCACAATAATGTGACTCATGGGCCCCATAATCTGGAACCAGAAAATTACTCACAGTCCAGCAAATATCTAAATTGTTTTGCACAATTTCACATATATTTATGCTTAACCTGAAACTCCTTCTAAATTGCTTAATGTGGAGTCGATCTGAATTAGCAAATTAAGCATGCTGTAGTTAGGTTTGAGAGGTCATCCTGGCCTGTCTGATACATGTCCTGCTATAGAACTACAGATGCAATTGCTGAATTATTGCTTAAAAAATGCCTCATAGTTCATAATGCGGCTGGAGTGCTCAATTAGAACTGAGATGCAATTGGCTCAACCTGGTGAGTATGTATTTATTCATAGCAGATGTCATATCTGAAAGCAAGAATAGTTGACTAGTTAAATGATGGAATGGAGCATCTTACAAACATTTTATTAGTGAAAACTATTTTTGTTTGCATCACCAAGCCAATTAAAAATTAAGTAGTTCTTTTAAAGACATGTGCAGTTCATTACAGACATTTATAAGTTTGGCTCCATATTGTTAGTGAGATTTTGTAACTCACTCTGAGACAATCATCTTAAGAATGATCAAATAAGTTTTTGGAATCATGTTTGTTTAGTTGTACTTAATCCATATTTGAAATCTGAAAGCCCAGTTACCATTGAGAATTTTAATTTGGAGAAATTGAGGAAAGTTTAAAAAATATATCCTAACCAGGTCTACGCTACCCAGAACCCGTTATGTGTGAAGGTATGGGCTGTATGTAGCTTATTTAGCCTCCTGAGGGAGCTCACCAGCCGCAAAATGTCCCAAACATTTCCTTCCCACTCACCCTTTCCAAGACTGATTATATTCCAGGATGCTAATGGACCGGTAAAAACTACATTTTTCAGTCACAATTGTGTACTCCACAGATGACAACCTATGTTTTATGAACCACAAAAACCGTTATGTTTATGAAATTATCTTTGCTTCGTTCTTGGTTATCTTAAACAGATATTTTTACACCAACTGTTCTCTAGTTGTATAAAAATTATTTACCACAACAGGATAATGGTCAGATGTTACTCATTATAAAATATGAACCAAGTGTGCAGACACGGTGTCATGTCCGTTTACAATTTCAGCACTTATGTTTCATTTATCAAATTCAACTCTAATCTGACATGAGAACTGTGTAGCTGCAGAGCCCTGTTGGTTGCAGCTTGATCCAGCTCTTTCTCAAAGGAGTTACCATTACTAGCTTTGCCTGAATTTTTTTCCACTTTGCTTTACCCCACAGATTAAAGTATTCTTTTGATGTGTAATCTTAATGACACCAGACGAAATCTGTGGTGTGCTATCCTAATGGTAGAGTCAGAAGTGAGCGCCATTTATGATTTTGTGTCAAAAGCAGGCACCTAAGTGATTCATAGGAAGATTTAAAGGGCCAGCGGAGGGCACATGGAACACACACAGTTATGTTCCAGGATGGATTTCCATTGGAGGATCCTGCTGTTGATATGGCCAAGGGCCTTGAAAAACCCAAGCATTTGAGTTCTGTGAGATATGTGAGTTGTAAGAATTCCATGAGAAGCAAGCATAGACCGGCACGATTCTTCACCTCTGGCCACTGATTAATTAGATGTTAAGGGGGTAGAATTGCTTGTGGTTCATATATCCTGCTGGTTGTTTCAAGGAAGCATTAATGGCAACATGAATGCTGTAAATAATCTCTTACATTCTGTGGAATTCTGGGGAAACAAACAACGGCTACAAAGTCCATTGGCCTGAGAATCTGGCTGTCATCATCTGTGAAGGTGAACATTATTTGAATGACAGAAGAGGGCATTGGTCACCTCTTTGAATGCACCTGTGTGTCGCAGACTGCGAAATACTACACATGTTGCTCATGGAACTCTGGATCTGGAAGTAGCCAGTGGTAAAAAAGTTTTGAGCACCAGGGGTTTTGTCCATACAGTTGCTGAATAGTGAGATTTTCTACTTCTCCTATTGTCTGCATCTGAATCTCCACACATGCCATACTGTCCTCTTCCTTCTTGGAACTTCAGTCTTGGCAGCTACAAGTAGGTTTTTGGACCTAGCCAGTAACAGAATGCAAATGACCCTGAATTGCAACCTCTGATCTTCCACTTTGTTCCCAATGCCCTTGATCTTCCCAAAATGACTGTGCACATTCCCAATGTAATCTCTGAATCTCCTCCAATTAACCTGTACCATGTCATTTTTGAATGGACACACCATTTTGCCTATTTCAGTCTACCCTATCTCTGTTGAAATTTCACCTCTCAACCTAGACCCTCCTGACACAATCCTTAGGGTCTCTGTTAGATCCTGTGATCCACTTAATGAGACTTTGGATTTCCCTACCTTTATTGTTGTTCCTTCATGGGATGTGGGTGTTACTGGTTATATGAATGTTTGTTGTCCATCCCTACTGGCCCTGAACTGAATAACTTGCCAGACTATTTCAGAAAGCATTAAAAGTCCACTACATTGTTGTGACTAAAAACTGTAAGTGCTGGAGAAACCCAGATCTGGCAGCATCTATTGAGAGAGAAGCAGAGTTAATGTTACAAATGCAGGATGACTCTTCTTCAGAACCCATTACTGTTACTCTTACTTACATGTAGTCAGACCAGGTAAGGATGGCAGATTTCCTTCCCTAAGAAACAGTGTTGGGCTAGATTGATTTTGAGATAATCAATGCTTGTTTCATGGTCATTACTTTGAAGTCATTGTTACTGAGACTGATTTTCATTTCCAGATTTTATTAATTGATTAGAGAATCCAGGTGGAACTTCTCAGTTGGTTACACAATTAGTCTTCATAGCAGAGATAACAAGGTGTAGAGCTGAATGAACACAGCAGGCCAGGCAGCATCAAAGGAGCAGGAAAGCTGACGTTTCGGGTCTGGACCCTTCTTCAGAAATAGTATTCATAGCAGTTGGGTTAGGGTGATATATAGGATTGCCCTTACATTGAGTAAGTGTTTAATTTTATGTATTTTCTTAGCACTGCTTCCTATATGCTTTAACAACATGAAGTAGAATGCTTTAAGTTATTGTCGATGAATAAAATGCAACAAGTCCCTTAGGACATAAAGCCAACCCATTTCCAGTCATACTTGGTCTTTCAAGCCAAGGTGAAGTTGCCAGTCAAAATAAATAAACTATTAAAAGTCTCAATCAACTTTCCAGTTAAATGTGAATTCAGTAGAACTTCTACCTTGTTTTAGGATAATATAGTTTAAATATTCAAACCACAAAATATCTAACATAGTTAACAAAATAGGTAAATCAAACAAACTATGTTTCTTATTTTCTATCCCTGAGACACAGAAATCTGTCTGTTTCTATGTTTACTCTTAGGGGACTGAGACATTTTCAAAGCCGGCACGATCAGCTCAGTTCTATTATATGGACAAATTTCTGTTGTTCTCTTCAGGATCAGAGTTTCAGCTGCATGGATACCATTTGGATACAAGCAGGGATGACATTAAAAGGTTAGTGCCAATATGTTTTGAAATGTCTATATTTATGTTTTATTTTGTTTGTTAGTGTTTATCAAAGTGGTACTGGTGAATGAGTAGTGTTTCTGTGCTGGACAGCACACCCTCAGCTAAAAAAAACCTTCTGCCTGTTGGTTTAAGGCAAAAAATACATTTTTCTTTCAATTCAAATTTTATTGTCCATTTGAAAATTCATTGTAGGTATTCTTCTTACTCATTAAACATCATATATAAATGAATAATTAATAAAGAGAAAAATTACACCATAAAAACTCAAAGGAAGTTAAGTGAACGGTGAATAATGTAAAATCTCATGTTACTATGATGCAGCACCGTCTTGTGAATTATATTTCGAATTATAAAAATAACATAAGCTTTTTTTAATTGTCCTTAAATTTGCTTTTGAAACCTTTTAGCTTTGTACCTTTGAGATGCTCCCTTCCATTTACATTTTTTGCATTTTTAATCCACGCGATTGCTGTTCTGCTCACTAACCATTTGACTCTTTCCTCACCTTGGGCCAATCTTACCTCCCTATTATTTCACTTGGCATCAATCAACCACTAGTTGCCATTTATCTAGCAGCAACATGACCTCAGATACTTGTAATTTCAGAGAGAAGGCAACAGAGAGGAAGGGAAATATCAGTGGAAAAAGACTGGTGAGGGGTTTAGGGTGGACTGGGATGAGGGAGGGTAGTTACTGCCATACTGGAGCATATGGAGGCCAGAAAATGAAAGGCACTAAGGGAAAATAAATGCAACAACCAGACAGGTGAATAAAATGGCAGTCAGATAGGAGCAGATTCAGGCTGAATGAAAAGAGTGCTAATATACAGTGAGGGCAACACACAGGTTGCAATGTGTGATAGGAATAATAAATAGATTAACTGGAATTGAAGAAATCAATGGAGATTTGCAAATAGAGAGAATTGACAAAAGATGCAACTATAAACTGCAAAAATGATGGTGTGTCAAGCTGTTGTAATTAGGTTTTTGGAAAGGTCTACAGGAGAGTGGATGAAGGTAAAATGGTAGCTATTGTCTTCTTGGACTTCCGTAAAACTTTTGATCTGTTACATCAGAAGAGCTTATTCTACGAGACTTGTGAAATTAGTGATTAGGTGGATCTCTTAGTTTAGCATTGTCAGGCAGCATATTGTTGTTGATGGATGTGGATCTGGTTGAAGAGTGGTCCCACAGAGATCAGTGTTATGATCTTTGCTATTTACTATTTTCATTAATAAATAGATGTTGGAAATATAATGAGTAACTAATAAAAATGTAGTGTTATGCCCATGGGCATGCTGAATGATGAGATTGCAGAGTACTTGAGTGCATGGTAAAATAATGCTAAGTCAGCATGTCTTCATCAAAAGGAGGTAATGCCTTACAAATCTGTTAGAATTCTTTGAGGAGGTAACGAGGAAGTTAGACAACGTAGAGCCAGTGGATGTGATCTATTTGGGTTTCCAGAAGGGCTTTGACAAGGTGCCGCATCGAAGGCTGCTAAATAAGGGAAGAGCCTATGGTATTAGTGGCTAGGCACCGGCATGGACAGAGAATTGGCTGACTGGCAGAAAGCAGAAAAAGAGATAAACGGGCTTTTTCAGGATTGAAACTGGTGACTATTGGAGCTCTGCAAGGGTCAGTATTGGGACCATAAGTATGCAGGTTATACATTAATGATCTGGATGAAGGTACTGAGGGCGTTGCTGCTAAGTTTGCAGATGACACAAAGATAGGTGGAGGGACAGGCTTCAGAAGGACTTAGATAGGCTAGGAGAGTGGGCAAAGAAATGGCAGATGGAATATAATATGGGAAAATGTGAAGTTATGCACTTTTGTAGGAAGAATAGAGGTGTAGACTATTTTGTAAATAAGCAAAGACTTTGGAAATCTGAAGCACAAAGGCACTTAAGAGTCATAGTTCATGATTCTTTTATGGTTAATGTGCAGCTTCAGTTGACAGTTAGGAAGATAAATGCAATTTAGCATTCATTTCAAGATGGCTTGAATGAAAGAGCAGAAATGTATTGCTGAGGCTGTGTAAGGCTCTGGTCGGACCACATGTGGAACATTGTGAGCAATTTTGGGCCCTGTATCCAAGGAAGGATGTGCTGCTGTTGGAGGGGGTCCAGAGGAGGTTTATAAGAAAGATCAAGAAGGGGTGAAGGGCATTGTCATATGAGGCGCAGTTGAGGATTCTTGGGCTGTATTCGATAGAGTTTAGAAGGATGAGGAGGGATCTGATTGAAACTTAGGGAATACTGAAAGGCCTAGATAGAGTACACGTGGAGATGATGTTTCCACTAATTGGAGAGACTACTACCCAAGGGCACAGCTTCAGAGTGAAGGGATGACCCTTTAGACCTGATATAATGAGGAATTCTATCAGCCAGAAGTGATGAATCTGTGGAACTCATTGCTGCAGAGGCTGTGGAGGCCAAGTCATTGAGTGTATTTAAGACAGAAATTAGTAAGGGGAACAAGGGTTATGGGGAGAAGCAGGAGAATGGCGTTAAAAAACACATCAGCCATAATTGAATGATGGATCAGACCCATGGGGTGAATGGCAAAATTCTGCTCCTATATCTTATGATCTTATGGTCTAAAAGAGATAGTGATTTAGGTGTTACAAAATTGATCTCTAAAAGGTCACAACCAATGCTGTGACTATATAACCAAAGCAAAAATTTTTTTTTGTTGTATTTACAAGATAAACCACTACCTATCCAAACATACCATTTGTCTTTGTCTAAGCCTGTTATTAGGCCTCAACTAGCATTATGCATCCAGTTCCAAAGGAAAATCATAAAGGAATCTTTTAGATTTCAAGTTTAGACTCCCTTGGTACATTTTTTCTGGAACTGATTTGATTTATTGTTGCCACATGTACCTAAGTACAGTGAAAAGCTTTGTTTTGCAAGCGGTGCAGGCAGATCATAGCAAACAACGACATATAGATCATAGGGTGTTTAGACAGAGTGAGGCATACAAGGTCACGGCTGCACAGGAGGTCCACAAAGCAAGATCAATGTTAGCAACATCAACGTTATTTGAAGTTAGAGAGATCCATTAAGGAGTCTAATAACAGAACGGAAGAAGCTGTTCTTGAACCTGTTGGTGCATGTTTTCAAACTTCTGTATCTTATTCCTGATAGAAGAGGTTGGAAAAGAGCATTACTGGGGTGGGAGAGGTCTTTGATGATGTTAGCAGCACTTCCTCGGCAACAAGAAGTGTAAATGGAGTCTATGGATGGGAGGTTGACTTTCATGATAGTCTGGGCTGTGCACACAACTTTCTGTAGTTTCTTACTGCCCTGGCTAGAGCAGTTGCCGTACCAGGCCGTTATGCACCCAGATAGAATGCTTTCTATGGTGCAATTGTAAAAGTTGATGAGGGTCCTTATGGACATGCCAAATTTCCTAAGTGGCCTGAGGAAGAAGAAGCGTTGTTGTGCTTTCTTGACAGTTGCATCAGCATGGGAGGTCCAGGACATATTATCGGTTATTGACAGTCCTTGGAACTTTACGCTATCGACCCTCTCTCTACCTCAGCTCTGTTGATATAGATAGGGGCGTATTCTCCTCCTTTCTTTCTGAAGTCAATGATCAATTCTTTTGTTTTGTCTGCATTGAGAGAGATATTGTTATCATTGTACCACGACACCAAGCACTCTATCTCCTTCCTGTATTCTGACTCGTTGTTTGATACTCATCCTACTATGGTGGTGTCATCAGCAAACTTTTAGACAATGTTCATACGGAATTCAGCTCCACTGTTACAGATGTGCAGTGAGTACTGTAGGGCACTAAGAATGCATTCCTTGTGGGGTGCCAGTGTGGAGTGTTATCATGGAGGAGGTGCTGTTGTCTATCTTCACTGATTGCAGTCCGTGGGTCAGGAGGCTGAGGATCCAACTGCAAAGGGCGGAGCCAAGACCTAGGTCTCGGAGTTTTGAGATTAGTCTGGTATGGATTATGGTGTTGAAGGTGGAGCTGTAGTCAATTAATTTCTGTGGAACTTATGGTCTCTGAAAATTGAGTATCTGAGCAAAAAATGCCAATTGGCATCATTGTAGATAACATTGAAAGGAGGCCAGCTGAAACTACATTATGGAATCGATATGCTTAATATTATTTTTAATTCATTCATGGGGTGTGAATGTCACTACCTAGGCCAGCATTTATGTCCATCCATATTTTGCTCTTGAGAAAATGATGGCAAGCTACCTTCTTAAACCATTGCAGTCAATGTGGGGTAGATATACAAACAGTGCTGTTAGAGTGGACTTTGGCCCTGTGACAGTGAACGAAAAGTAAAATAATTCCCAACCAGGGTGGTGTGTAACTTGTCAATGGCATGGTGTTCCATGCATCTGCTGCCTTTGTTGTTCTAGGTTGTAGAGGTATGGGGTTGGAAAGTGCTGTCTAAGAAATCTTGATGAGATATCTCACTTAATGGATCATGTTTGTTTTTCTTTATTTAACACAGTGATCTTTCACTGAAACACAAGCATGCAATGCTAAAGATTTGGTTTTAATAATAAAATGGAAATTTATTGCACAAAAGAAATAAATGAAATAGAATAAATTAAGCTATTTAAATATAACACAATTAGAAAGTTATCAAAGTATACTGTAAAGTAAAATCCCATCTATCTCAACTCCATCACTTTACAGTATTCAGATACCAGAGAGTTCTTTTGTGTATCACACCTATGAATTTGACTTAACTATGCTTTTTCCTGATGTTGAGAGTTTGATAGTCTTTTGCTTGGTCAGTCGTCCAATTCATTAAAATTTCTTAGCTTCAAATAATCTGTTTAGCATTCTAACCAAACACTACTGTGTGAAATTTTCAAAGTAAAGCCCTTACACTGAAGTAATCCATTTCTTAACTGTTATTGACCTACTCCTTGCTCCATGAAATACTGTTCGTACCCTACCCTTAACTAGGTATTTTGTGAATGGAACCTAGAATCTTTCAGG